AAGCATCTGTGTAAATGTACATCTTCAAACTGTAGCTTGCAAGTGGGCGTGCCATACCGAATGTTCGCCACAGCCACCTGTCCAACGTTTCACCACTACCGATCCTGGCAGCAGCATAGAACTCTGCCATACACATAGTGCAAGTTCCAAACGCGCACTTGACTTTAACTCTTGAACTTCCATACCTCTGTACAGGTTGGGGACCTCTTTAGTGCAGTTCCGCTCCTGTTTCTAGGGGGGGCAGAATGCGGCATAGGGAGTGCCAACGGCATCTCTTCTGCGGTTATGGTTAGAGGCAATTCCACCTATAACAGGTACACTGTTATGACAGTCATTGTCCCAAATCCTAACCAGGTTATGTGCTGCCCCGGCATACCTAGAAAGGGTAGAGTCCATGTGAATAAAGGTCCATTAGTGACATCCCCCATAGTAAATGAGGTGCAGCTTCACTTTGCAAAGAATACCCAATCACATGCAGGAGAAAAAAAAAACTGCATTTTTGCTTACATGTGATTGGATGATGGAAGTCTGCACAGCTTCTGCTCATTTACTAAGCTCTGGAGCAACTGCTCTTGCAGAGTGCAACTGCACTTTGCAAAGTGCACAGCCTATTTACCTTTAGCAAATCAAGCCCTTTAAAGTATACAGACAAAAAAAGCAGCACTACCTCTTGCAGGAGGAGCATGGCTACAAACAATGTGAGCTTAAGATTCTCAACAACATTTGTTTAGTTTCATTTAATTTATTAGTTTTCAACCAGATTCAAAGATTTCCAAAGTATTCAAAGTATTCAAATTGAATTAGAATAGAAAATATCAAATCAATCCTACATTCTTTCTATTCCACTCTATTTTTTCTATTTTATTCTATTCCTTTATTTTCTATTCTGTTCTTTAATATTCTATTCTATTCTACTCTATTTTTTATTCTGCTTTGTTTTATTCTATTCTATTCTTTTCAAAATTTGAATTTGAAAAGATGGCTGTATTCTCTCTTTTTTTATTCTATTCTAATTTCCAATAGATTAAAATTATTTGAATCGAAAATATCGAATTGATCCAAATTCATTTCAGAAGGTGGCTATATTCTATTTTATTCTATTCAATTCTTTTTCTATTACATTTTCTATTCTACTCTATTCTTTTCTATTCTATTGTCTATTCTATTCTATTTTATCCTATTCTTTTTTCGAAATTCGAATTTTGGAAGATGGTTATATTCTATTTTATTCTATTCTAATTGAAATTTGAATTTCATTCAAATTCTATTCTACTCTACTTCTTTCTATTCTATGTTTTCTATTCTATGCTTTTATTTTCTATTCTATTCTTTTCTGTTTCATTCTATTGTATTATTTTCAAATTGTGAATTTTGGAAGAGAGGTATATTCTAATACTAATACACACAGTCTTTGAAGGAAATCAGCTACAGTTAGTAATATGTTTACATTTCAAATTTATTTTCAAATTCAATTTCTTTTCTAATTAATTTCAAAAAGTTTAGAATTTGATTTGAATTCAGATAATTCGTTATTTTGGACAACATTTTGTTTCGTTATTTCGGATTCATTTACAGTTGCAAGAAAAAGTATGTGAACCCCTTGGGATTACTTGGAGTTTTGCATGAATTGGGCATAAAATGTGCTCTGAACGTCATCTAAGTCACAACAATAGAAGAACACAGTCTGCTGAACATAATACTACACAAACATTAGATATTACCATGTTTAATTGCACATAACATGTAAACATTCACAGTGCAGGGAGGACAAAGTATGTGAACCTTTGGATTTAATAACTGGTTGACCCTCCTTTGGCAGCAATAACCTCAACCAAATGTCTCCTGTAGTTGCAGATCAGACCTGCACAAGGATCTGGAGTAATTTTGGCCCACTCCTCTTCACAAAACTGTTTCAGTGTAGCAATATTCTTGGGATGTCTGGTGTGAATCGCTCTCTTAAGGTCATGCCACAGCATTTCAATCGGGTTGAGGTCAGAACTCTGACTGGGCCACTCCAGAAGGCTTATTCTGTGCTGTTGCAGCCATTGTTTTGTTGAATTACTTGTATGCTTTGGGTCATTGTCCTGTTGCATCACCCATCCTCTGCGGAGCTTCAGTTGGCAGACAGATGGTCGTACGTTTTCCTGCAAAATGTCTTGATAAACTCTGGAATTCATTTTCCCATCAATGACAAAAATCCGTCCAGGCCCTGAGGCAGCAAAGCAGCCCCAAACCATGATGCTCCCTCCGCCATGTTTTAGAGTGGGGATGAGGTTTTGATGTTGGTGTGCTGTGCCTTTTTTTCTCCACACATAGTGTTGTGTGTTCTTCTCAAACAACTCAATCTTGGTTTCATCTGTCCACAGTATATTTTGCCGCTAGTGCTGTGGAACATCCAGGTGCTCTTTTGCAAACTTCAAACGTGCTGCAATATTCTTTTTTGGACAGCAATGGCTTCTTCCGTGGTGTCCTCCCATGTACTCCATTCTTGTTTAATGTTTTCCTTATTGTAGATGTGTTAACAAAAATGTTAGCATGTGCCAGAGATTTCTGTAGGTCTTTAGCTGACACTCTGGGATTTTTCTTTACCTCATGCAGCATTCCGTGCTGTGCTCTTGCAGTCATTTTTACAGGACGACCACGCCTAGGGAGAGTAGCAACAGTGCTAAACTTTCTCCATTTGTAGACAGTCTGTCTTACCGTGGACACATGAACATCGAGGCTTTTGGAGATACTTTTGTAACCCTTTCCAGCTTCATGCAAGTCAACAATTCTTGATCGTAGGTCTTCTGAGAGCTCTTTTCTGCGAGGCATGGTTCACATCAGACAGTGCTTCTTGAAATCAGTAAATCCAAAACAGGTGTGTGTTTTTTAAGGGCAGGACAGCTGTCAGCAACACATCCAATATCATCACACTGATTGGAGTCAAGGTTGGCTCACTCCTGGCTCCAATTAGCTCTGGGAGAAGTCATTAAGCTAGGGCCTCACATACTTTTTCCTTTCTGCACTGTGAATGTTTACATGTTATGTGCAATTAAACCATGGCAACATCTAAAGTTTGTGTAGTATTATGTTCAGCAGACTGTGTTCTTCTATTGTTGTGACTTAGATGACGTTCGGAGCACATTTTATGCCCAATTCATGCAAAACTCCACGTAATCCCAAGGGGTTCACATACTTTTTCTTGCAACTGTAAATTAATTATTTTTGTAATTCGGAAATTCGGATACATCCAAACTCCAAAGAAAATTGAATTCGAATTTTGTTTTGGAACAAAACGAACCGCATATGTCTAATCCCCAGGTCAGGGGAATCGCTAGTAAAAATTGTGAACAGTGATTGAAAGGGTTAATAGTTAACTAGCTTTAGCTTTGTGCCTACTAACTGGTTTATTTTTCATACAAGATGTTCCCTTGGGATTGAAATGCTGTTATCTATGCACACACTTCTTTTGTTATGACTAGCCATAGAGTAGTTTTCTGAAATATTTTTTCTGTATTCTGATTGGTGCTTTATGGAAACCGCCTGAAATACAGTTGCCATGGTTTTTCTTGCAACTGTATGCTGTGTTATCATTAATTATTTAAGGCCTGATCAATATTAAAGAAGTTGAATTCTGCCTCACACATCTAGGTGTTTGTGCCTCATTGTTCCCAAAGTACTTTGAACTGCATGTTTATTGTATGGAGAAGAGGGCTCTAAATTGCTAACAGTGATTGTAAAGAACTTTGGTTAAGTGTTTGAATAGTTGTAAGTGTGAATCTTATCATTATAGATAAGGAGTAAAACCTACTCTCCATACTTGAGTTGTACTTAAGGACCTTGACAAAAGAACTGCAAAGTTTGTATTCTTCTCTTCATCTTAATTACACCATTTAGTAAATTCCTGGGTAAAATTAGGAGGAAAAGGAAAGATTTCAAATGCATATATAGGTCTTCTAGAAGAGCTTAGTTGTCAATACTTGGATCTGTCCATACTCTGCTGATTTTTGGGAACCTTTGATGACCACAGTGGTAACTAATTTGGTCTTTCGGTAATGCAAGATGAACAAAAGTAAATCACAAAATTCTCCAGCACGCTAGACAGTTCTTGATAGGTGCACCAGACATTTGTAGCTTGTGTGGGGTTGTTGGCTTTTCCAGTGTGCTTAATTGTCACAAGCGATGCCTTGATGTTGGTTCACACATGGTTGCAAAGCATTGCAGGTTCCGATGCAAAAAAACAATAAATGCACAGTTTCAAAGAAAGAAAAACGTCATGTGCTGCCACAAGGATGACAATAAATATAAAATAAGCTGCTGCACGCACCTAAATGTGCTTCCACATAAATTAGGAAAAAAAAAAAAAAGATCTATTAAAGGTGTGAACACCTAAATTAATCAGTGCATCAACCCTTGGAATAAAACCACCGCCAGTGGTCTAATGCAAAGACCGACCAGAGCGCGCACACACACACATACATATATTTATACATATACATCAGGTTGAGTTCAGAACTCTGTACAGGCCAGTCAAATTCCTCTTCCTCAAACTCGCTCATCCATGTCTTTATGGACCTTGCTTTATGCACTGGTGTGCAGTCATGTGGGAACAGGAAAGGGCCATCCCCAAACTGTTCCCACAAAGTTGGGAGCCAAGCCCAACCCCTGAAAAACAACCCCACACCATGATCCCCCCTCCACTAAACTTTACACTTGGCACAATGCAGTCAGGCAAGTACAGTTCTCCTGGCAGCCACCAAACACAGACATGTCCATTGGATTGCCAGACAGAGAAGTGTGATTTGTCACTCCAGAGAACATGTCTCCACTGCTCTAGAGTCCAGTGGCGGGCGTGTTTTTTTACACCATTGCATCAGACACTTTGCATTGTACTTGGTGATGTAAGGCTTGGATGCAGCTGCTCGGCCATGGAAACCCATTCCATAGAGCTCTCTATGCACTGTTGTTGTGCTAATCTGAAAGCCACATGAAGTTTGGAGGTCTTTATCTATTGACTCTGCAGACAGTTGGCAACTTTTGCGCAGTGTGTGCTTCAGCATGCGCTGACCCCCCGCTCTGTCATTTTATGTGGCCTACCACTTTGTGGCTGGGTTGCTGTTGTTCCCAGTCGCTTCCACTTTGTTATAATACCACTAACATTTGACCGTGGAATATTTAGTAGCAAGGACATTTCATAGATGGACTTATTGCACAGGTGGCAACCTATCACGGTACCACGCTTGAATTCACTGAGGTCCTGAGAGCGATCCATTTTTTCACAAATGTTTGTAGAAGCAGTCTGCATGCCTAGGTGCTTGATTTTATACATCTGTGGCCATGGAGGTGATTGGAACACCTGAATCCAATGATTTGGAGGGGTGTCCCAATACTTTTGGCAATATAGTGTGTGTGTGTGTATATATATATATATATATATATATATATATATATATATATACACACACACTGCTCAAAAAAATTAAAGGAATACTTTTTAATCAGAGTTTAGCATCAATTCAACTGCTAAGATATTGATCTGGTCAGTTAGGTAGCAGAGGGGTTGTCAATCAGTTTCAGCTTCTTTTGTGTTAATGAAATTAACAACAGGTGCACTAGATGGGCAACAATGAGACAACCCCCAAAAACAGGAATGGTTTTGAAGGTGGAGGGCACTGACATTTTTTCCTTTTTCATCTTTTCTGACTGTTTTTAACTAGTTTTGCATTTGGCTAGGGTCAGTGTCACTACTGGTACCATGAGGCAATATCTGGACCCTACAGAGGTTGCACAGGCAGTCCAACTCCTCCAGGATGGCACATCAATATGTGCCATTGCCAGAAGGTTTGCTGTGTTTCCCAGCACAGTCTCAATAGCATGGAGGAGATTCAAGGAGACAAGTAGTTACTCTAAGAGAGCTGGTGAAAAAGGCCATAGAAGGTCCTTGTGTTTTTCACAGATGAACCCATCAGCAAGGCCAGCATCTGCTCCATTGTGCAAGGAGGAACAGGATGAGCACTGCCAGAGCCGAACAAAATGACCTCCAGCAGACCACTGGTGTGAATGTCTCTGACCAAACAATCAGAAAACAGACTTCATGAGGGTGGCCTGATGGACTGGCGCTCTGTGTTTTTCACAGATGAGAGCAGGTTCACCCTGAGTATGCTGAGTACGTGACAGATGTGTAAGGGTCTGGAGAAGCCGTGATATGTTATGCTGCCTGTAACATCGTTCAGCATGACCGTTTTGTTGGTGGGTAAGTGATGGTCTGGGGAGGCATATCCATGGAGGGATGCACAGACCTCTACAGGCTAGACAATGGCACCCTGACTGCCAGTAGGTATCCTTGGACCCATTGTCAGACCCTACGCTGGTTCAGAGGGTCCTTTTTTTCCTCCTGGTGCCCGGCCTCATGTGGTGACAGTATGTATGCAGTTCCTGGAGGATGAAGAAATTGATACAATTGAATGGCCCCCATGCTCGCCTGACCTAAATCCAATAGAACATCTCTGGGATGTCATGTTTCGGTCCATCTGACGCCACCAGGTTGCACCTCAGACTGTCCAGGAGCTCAGTGATGCCCTGGTCCAGATCTAGGAGGAAATATCCCAGGACAGAGGAGGGAGGGGAGCGGGCATCTGTCATCTCATTAGTAGCATGCCCCGATGTTGTCAGGCGTGTATACAAGGACGTGGGGGCATACAGTAGCTGCCCCCGATGTTGTCAGGTTGGGATGTGTATACAAACTACTGAGTACCATTCTGAGTTGCTGCAATGAAATTTCAGCAAAATGGACTAGCCTGCTGCATCATTTTTTCACTTTGATTATCAGGATGTCTTTGATTTCAGTCCTCTGTAAGTTGACCATTTTCATTTCCATCAAATGATGGGGCATACTTAGGTTCCTAACACATTGCCCAGTCCATATCAGTATAGATATCCAGCATGATATTTTTCTCCATTGAGATCTGATGTGTTTTCAAAGTGTTCCTTTAATTTTTTTGAGCAGTGTATACAGTATACACACATACATAAATGCATTGGTCACAAATTGGTGCCCTGATGAGCTAGATGTAAGTTCACAGTGTGAAGCAATGTAAAACAATGTGAAACAATATAAAACCATATGATACTATATGAAAAACAAATTGACAGATAAAGCTTATGTATGTAGCTAGATAACATGGGTAGCCCAGAGTGCTATACAACACACTGCTAAACTAACTCTGGAAGTGCTGCTTCGTTCTCGCATTGGTGTGCTGTGTGGCTGTAGAAGACAAAAAGAGGGGAGGGGGAGAGGAAATGCAACAACCATAGTGTAGCATGCAAAGTGTGCTTTTAATGGAAAGTGTAAAAAAGCACTTGCACACTTAAATAGGAGCTGAGCATAACAGTTAGGTAGCCTCTGGGACAGAGATCGAATAGACAACCAGGATGCCTTTCCTTGGCCACTGACAAGGGAGCGGAGATGGAATGGAAGCAGGAACTGCTGTCATTGGAAAGCCAAGGCCGTGGGAGGATATGAAACCACCTTATGCTGGAGAATGATGGAGCTGGAACAGGAACGTGTTTCAAAGCCTCTAGGGGCTTAAGAATAAGCAAGGTTGCTTTGAAACCCATTCCTGTTTCAGCTTCCATATGAAGGTGGCTTCATATCCTGGGCCCTGTATTCCGCCCATGGCTTTGGTGGGTGACAGCGGTTTCTGCTTCCATTCCATCTCACCTCCCATATGGACAAGGAAAGGCATCCTGGTTATTGTTAAATATTGTTTTTTATCAAAATTTTCATTTTTTTCCCGTTTATAGCGCAAAAGTCAAAAAACCCAGTGATGATCAAATAGCACCAAAAGAAAGCTCTATTTGTGTGATAAAATGATATAAATTTAATTTGTGTACAATGACCATGCAATTGTCATTTAACCCCTTTGTGCCAAGAGTATGTAAATATCTGGCCTCTTGGCAGGTGAGCCTTAACGTACAGAGACCGCATATTTGTGTACCCAAATGTACAAATAGTCCTGTGCAGTTAGCGGCGCAGAACGGAAAGGTATCAATTGGGATCTTTCCGATCATGTGACAGCTAATCACGGCAGTCACAGGTTCATAAATCCTGCTCCGCATCCCGGCATCAGAAACCTTTTAAAGTGCAAGGAGGAACGGCTTTAAGGGGATAAAGTAACGCAGTACTGTATAGCAAAAAAAATGGCCTGGCCATGAAGAGGGTAAAATTCCAGAGGTCAAGTGGTTAAAGTGCGACTTCAAAGTAACGCTGATAAACAGTAGACAGGTGTGATTTCAGTGCAATTTACCTTATGCTCTCTGACAGTTAAATTGCACTGAAGTGGTGAAACAGTAATGCAGGAACTATTTTTCAAATCATCGTCTCTTGAAATCACACCTATTCAGGGGCGGACTGACAACCCATGGGGCCCCCGGACAATAGGGGATCATGGGGCCCCTGTGTCCTCGCCCACACTCAAAGCACACCCAAAACGCGTATAAAAAAAAGGTGCCAGGGGCATTTCATGGGGCCCCCTACTGACCCCACGGGCCCTCGGCCAGTGCCCGAGTGCTCGAATGGTCAGTCCGCCCCTGCACCTATTAAAGTGGTAGTAAAGCCACTTTGTTACTTTTTACCTACAGGTAAGCTTATAATAAAGCTTACCTGTAGGCAAAAAGAATATCTCCTAAACGTGTGCTGTTTAGGAGATATTCGGGTTTTTCTTACAACACTCTGAAGGAATGGCATACCCTTGCCATTCCCTCAGAGCATTGTGCCATATCCCGAGACTCCTGTGCGCAGGCACAGGAGTGACATCATCACGGCTCAGCCAGAAACATGGCCGGAGCTCACGAACCTGGAAGGAAGACTGGGTGAAGATGGAAGCCTCTGCAGTGGTGACATCATCGCGGCTCAGCCAGAAACATGGCCGGAGCTCGCAAACCCGGAAGGAAGACTGGGTGAAGATGGAAGCCTCTGCAGCGGTGACATCATCGCGACTCAGCCAGAAATATTACCGGAGCTCGCGAACTCGAAAGGAAGACTGGGGGAAGATGGAAGCCTCTGCAGCGGTGACATCATCGCGGCTCAGCCAGAAACATGGCCGGAGCTCGCAAACCCGGAAGGAAGACTAGGGAAAGATGGAAGCCTCTGCAGTTGTGACATCATCGCGGCTCAGCCAGAAACATGGCCGGAGCTCGCGAACCCGGAAAGAAGACTGGGGGAAGATGGAAGCCTCTGCAGTTGTGACATCATCGCGGCTCAGCCAGAAACATGGCCGGAGCTCACGAACCCGGAAGGAAGACTGGGGGAAGATGGAAGCCTCTGCAGTTGTGACATCATCGCGGCTCAGCCAGAAACATGGCCGGAGCTCGCGAACCCGGAAAGAAGACTGGGGGAAGATGGAAGCCTCTGCAGCGGTGACATCATCGCGCTCAGCCAGAAACGTGGCCGGAGCTCGCGAACCCGGAAGGAAGACTGGGGGAAGATGGAAGCCTCTGCAGCGGTGACATCATCGCGGCTTAGCCAGAAACGTGGCCGGAGCTCGCGAAACCTGGAAGGAAGATTGGGGAAAGATGGAAGCCTCTGCAGCGGTGACATGATCGCGGCTCAGCCAGAAACGTGGCCGGAGCTCGCGAACCCGGAAGGAAGATTGGGGGAAGATGGAAGCCTCTGCAGCGGTGACATAATCGTGGCTTAGCCAGAAGAAACATGGACGGAGCTCGCGAACCCAGAAGGAAGACTGGGGGAAGATGGAAGCCTCTGCAGCGGTGACAGTGCACCGCTGGAGGGCTTCATTGTTTTGCCTTTACCTTGTAGGAGATTTTATTTTTCTAGATGCAGTTTACTACCGCTTTAGGTGCCAAAGAAATACATTAGATGTGACTTCAGGTGTGATTTGTAAATGTCGCACCTGAAGTCGCAGTGCTGTGAACCTCTTTTTAATGCAAAGGCCATAGATCAGAAAGTTTATTTCACCAATCCATTTATTTCTCATTTCTAAATTGTACAATATCCAAACTTTAGATCAAACAACCAACTATACAGCTGAATTAACATTCTTTTGCAAGAATAAAGTTCAACTGCAATGTGTTGTGCAATCGAAAAAAAAAAAAAGTAGAAAAAATAAACACTAATAAAAGTTAATTATTTACAAGAATTTCCAGGAGGGCTCATTGGATAAAATGTTATGTAATATATAACCGGTTTGAGCAAACTAAGCATTTACAGAAGAAATGTTGCACTAGAGGAGATAAAATATACTCCGTGCTATTTATATAGGACAGCTTCCCCAATTCCAGGCTTTCTCATTACACCCACTCCTCCAGCAGCCAATCCTATCACACTCAGTTCCTTCTGTTATAAGCAATTGCTGGCTGTGCTAGAACAATAAAGAGGATATCACTCAC